CCTGGGGCAGGAGCTGTGGGTCCCCACCACAGTCCCAGGTGAGGGCCTGGGGCAGGAGCTGTGGGTCCCCACCACAGTCCCAGGTGAGGGCCTGGAAGAGCGGGGTGGGCAGCTCTTGCACCGTGGCTGGACCCTGCCTGACCGGGAACTCAGGCTGGCCCAGCACATGCCTGGTGTTCTTTCTGCAAGGCCCTGGGGGAACTCTTGCTGGGGACCCCCCAAGGAGCCTGGCGGGCAGTCTGTCCTTGGAGAGCCCTGCAGCTGCCCAGACTTCCTGCGAGGGCAGGGACAGAGCCTGCTGTGCGCTGAGGACAGTGCGCCTTTGCAGGCAAAGTAGCAGAAACAAAATGCCCTTCCTGTGGGCAGAGGCCCTGGGAATAACCCCGGCCCGGTTCCTGGGCTTTCAGTGGGATGTTCTGAGCAGATAAGTTACCTGTGGGCTTAGCAAGAGAAGCTGGGCTTGCTGTTATGTGAGGCACAGGGCGGAGTGGGGTGGATGTGGCATGCTCTGGGAGCCCCAGGCTGCGTGGGGACTGAGGGTGAGCCGTCGTGGGTGTGCTTGGCTGTGCGGGGGATGGATGGGGAATTGTGGGTGAGGTTGAGTGACGTGCTGCTTTGTGACTGTAGGTGTGACTGTGTGTATGCTGAGCCGTGGGGGGTGCGAGACTGTGATTATGGCCATGTGTGATTGGCTGTGTGGGACTTTGGGTTGTGTGGTTGGCTGTCTGTGAGGTTGTGGGTGAGATATGTGTGTGGTTGAGTGTAAGTTTGAAGCGTGTGATTGTGGGGTGTGGTTGCATGTTTGGGTGTGTGTATTTCTCGCCATTTTCATTTTCTTCCTCATGAAGAGGTGGTGCAGCTGGCTGGTTATGCACTTGGTGACTGGGGTAATTATGTATGTATGTTTTTTTGTGAGGAAGATCAGCCCTGAGCTAACATCCGTTGCCAATCCTCCTCTCTTTGCTGAGGAAGACTGGCCCTAGGCTAACATCCGTGCCCGTCTTCCTCTACTTTGATGAGTGGTGCGTAGGTCTGCACTCGGCATCTGAACCTGCCATCCCCAGGCTGCCAAAGCGGAGCGTGCAAACTTAACCACTATGCGACCGGGCCGACCCTGGGGTAGTTATATTTTTAAATCTGGACTATTGTTGGCCATCCGCTCTGCAGTTGGAATCTACCATCGTCCTTGTACTGGGCAGGTGCTGGGCAGGCTGCAGGGTGCAGGCACCATTTCTGTGGCCTGTGTGGTTGCCCTCAATGTGGTTTCACAGCCTCTGCTGCCCTGCCCTGGCCACTCGATACCAGGGGTTCACCATGGTGTCCCTGCAGCCCCAAAGCCGAGCACTTTAAAAGTGGAATGGCACCATCTGGTCAGTCATTCAGTCACTCAACAAACGTTTACTGGGTGCCTGCTTTTATGTGCCGGGGGATCAAGCATCGTCTCAGTTTAGTCCTCACAACAACCCGGGGGTGGAAAGGGAATACGTGTCATTATCCCCATTTTATAGATGAGAAAATTAAGGCTGAGAAAGCCATTCTCTGAAGGTGGCATGGT